ATTAAAGCACTTAGCATTTTAATCATAATAATTTTAAATCACTGGCCTGATGATTTCATACTCCTGCTATATCTGACTTGGTTCTGAAACTTGCTCTATCTTTTCAAAGTCCTTTTTTTTTTTCCTTTCGAATGTGTTGCTCTGGGGAAAGTTGGACAAGATGTCCTGGCTGAAAGGAACTGCACTCAGTACATCTTTAGGGATGAGTGGTGAGGCGTGAGGAGAAGAGCCATGTTCTAGAGGGTCAGGCCTTCGTCTGGGAGTGAGCCTGAGCCTCTGGACTGTGGATTTCACAAGAGAGTCTCGGTTTTGCCTCCTGTTTGTGTGGGTTAGGATGGCTCCAGGGGGCTGGGATTGAATATTTCCCCCACCCCCCAAGTTAGGGATGTGTTGATAAACTCCAAATAGGCTTGAGTCTGGTAAAGCAGTTTCTCCTGGGAGCAGAGCTTGTTAGAACAGAGAGCTCTGGCGCCCTCCCTCCTGGAGAAGTGCAGGGGGGTTTTCTCCTATTTTCACTGTGAGCACCCGCATAGAGCTCCCGGAGTTAAAATTCGTAGAAGTGTGGGGCCCCCGCAGGAGTTTTTACCTCTCAGAGTCGTCTTCCATCTGTTTGTCAATTAGTTCAGGATTTCCTACCCAGGACTCTGTTCTGCTTCAGACTCCAACAGGTGGCACTAGTGGTAAAGAACCTGCCCGCTAATGCAGGAGATGTAAGAGAAGTGAGTTCCATCCCTGGGTTGGGAAGATCCCCTGGAGGAGGACATGACCACCCACTCCAGTGTTCTTGCCTGGAGAATCCCATGGACAGAGGAGCCTGGAGGAACACAGTCCATAGAGGTTCAAGGAATCGGTCACAACTGAAGTGACTTCACACACACATGCAGCCAGGACTGGTTCTGCTTCGTAAGTTGTAAGCATCTGCATTCTCCTGTCTGTCTCTGTAGTGTCTGGGGCAGTGAACTCAACAGTCCGCATAAAGGGAAAAAGAAAAAACGACTTTCTGAAAACTCACAGAAAAAATTGTAGGTGAAAAAAGAAAAAAGAGCTGGTGAAGGCTTTGGGCCAAAGAGCATTACAGAAATGGATCTAAATCAATATTAATATCTAACAAAGTTCCACATTATCATATACCTCAGCCTCCTACAGAACAGAGGAGTGTGTATCAAGCTCTGGAACTTTCAGAATTCAGGAAAGACGTCATTCTGCCATCGTGCGTCTCCTTCCTTTGTCTCGATGCATTCATACACCTTTTATGAAGAGAAGCGTTTATGCTCGATGCTTGTGGACTCCTGGGAGGACTGTGGTAAGCTGCCTTCCTCCTCCTCATGAATTGACACTAATAACCAAGAGAAAATTTTAATGATAATAATAAGCTTAACTAAATAGCTGGAAAGCCACACCTACTGGGAAATGACAACGTCTTAATCAGGGTCTGTTGGCATAGAGAGTGAATCGTGATTTTGATGTGTGAAGATCCCCGATAGCCCTAGATTAGCTTTCTCTTGTTTGAAACTGATGTAATAAGAAATAGGAATAGATTACAGTTTGACAAAATCAAAGGAAAAGGCTATGGATGGTCTTAGGAGATATGAAGCCAGAAAATTCTTAAATGATCTATGCTGTTCTGAATCGTCTGAAGCTATTCACTAATAAAGGGCTTAACTGGAGACATGAAAGATGAAAACGCAGGTTGTGTGGAAACGTACATGCTGACCCCAATTTGGAAGGCCAGAGTTGGAAAGCATTTTTCTGAGAATAATGAGACCACTGCAGCAACAAGCATGGGTTGCTTGAAACCTCAGGAAATCAAATGGCGACGGGAGTCTGCAAAGTGCCGAGTCTGATTAGCACCAACTTTTTTTTTTTTAAAGAAGGTAAATATCTAGCACAACCGCAATTAGTGAAAAAACTCTTGGTGTTTATGTTTATCAAATTTTCTGGTTAAATTAAAATTAAGAAACTTGTTTTTAGCTATTCTGTGTGTTTTGCTTTTAATCATAAAGTTTTCAGTGTGGAGAATATGATTTATATTTTCTTTAAGATTGAAGATATTTCCACTTTTAGACATTGTATCTGTTTGGGGGGAAACTGGAGCAACGCCAGTGGCAGTGCAGCCACCATGAATTTGTTTAGGCTTCGGCACCGTTATGTCCACATGCGTGGGCCATGATCCACAGTTCACCTTCTAGACAGAACTCGAGAGAAACGCACTAAAACACACAGAGGAATGTCTGTAACTCCGTTACAACCCCAGATTCCAATCCAAGTGTCCATCGGCTTTGGAATGGGTGGGCGCCTTGCTGTCTGTCAGCATCTGTGACGTGGAGTGATGTGATGTGACACAGCGTGGTGTTATGAGATTTGATACAACAGAGAAGGCAGGAGGGGCACGCTACCTGCCTGAGCGTGAGTGACGCTCACATACATATGGCTGAGCAAGAGGAGCCAGATACGAAAGAGGACGTGGGTCCCGTGTGCACAGAGGTCAAAAGCGGCTTCAGGAGCTTCTGCAGTGAGAAGCCAGCCGAGTGACGGCCTCTGGCAGGAGCTGAGCTCCATGGGGAGCTGGACTCTCGTCGTTCAGTCGCTCAGTCGTGTCCAGCTCTTTGGGAGCCCATGGACTGCAGCACGCTAGGCTTCCCTGTCCCTCACCATCTCCCAGAGCTTGCTCAAACTCATGTCTATTGAGTTGGTGATGCCATCCAACCATCTCATCCTCTGTCGTCCCCTTCTCCTCCTGCCCTCAATCTTTCCCAGCATCAGGATGGACTCTTAGGCATTAATGATTTGATTCAAGACTTATATGGCAGTTATGTATAGATTTTCTTTTGTGACTATTCATGTAATTCATTGCTATAAATTACATATGTTCACGTTTTAATTTATGTTATACTGTGGGTTTAAAAAAAAACTATTTTTAAATGATTGGGAGAGTTCCAATTGGGAGAGTATGGAAAAGATGCTCAGGGCTGAGGTCCCAGGGGCCCAGAAGGATTCAGATCATGACATGCCCTTTGGGAATCTTTGGTTTCCTTCTGAGGAATGGGGAGCCCTTCAAGCACTTTGAGAAGAGGAGTGGTTTGCTGTGATTTATATTTTGGGATGATCATTCTGGCTGCTATGATAAAAATATACCATGGGATGAGATAAGACAGCAATAATGTGAAGAGTGTATGCATTTCAAATTGTGATGCATGTTGGTAATTTGCTCTCCATAGAATCTGCACAAATTAACAATCTCATTGGCACTTTCCCACGTCATTCCCTGCACGACGGGCTTTAAAACACTGGATATTTGTCCATTCAATGTGGAAAGGTGATTCACTGCAGTAGTTTCATTTATAGCTCTGGTGTGGTGGTGGGGTTGATCTTATTTTCACATTTTTGAGAGCCACTTGCAGACCTTCATCTAATGTCTTTGCACACCTGTTCCCATGTTTCTGCTGGCTCGTTGATGTGTTCTTGCACAACCGTGCATGTCTTGTATACATCAGGTCTTCCCTGGTGGCTCAGTCGTAAAGAAGTCGCCTGCCAAGCAGGAGACATGGGTTCAAACCCTGGGTCGGGAAGTCCCCTAGAGAAGGAAATGGCAACCCACTCCAATATTCTTGCCTGGAAAATTCCTTGGACGGAGGAGGCTGGTGGGTTATAGGCCATGATTGTCGCAAAGAGTCAGACATGACGTAGTGACTAAGCAATAGCAAATTACATATCAAGGAAATAAAATTTTCTCTGTGATGTGAACTTCAGCTACTTTTCCCCCTACGCCGTGTTTTTAAGTTAAAGGTTCTTCTACCTCACTGTGGGCTGTGTTTGGGTTACCAAGGACTCCATTGGTCTTGTCGCTTCTGAACAGAGGAGCATAGGGTCATAGAGAGCTGCTGTCGTCGTTGACATCTGGGTGGTCCAGACGTTTCGCGCCTTATCATGAGAGAGGGAGAGACAACACAGCCCAGGAAGAAAACCGTAGCGGTGTGCTACTGCCAGTTTCAAATGAGGCGGATGTTATGATCTGCTGCTCTACTTGAGATGGAAAGAGCATGCCCATTACATCAACAGCCTCAATCCGAGGGCCTGCGGTCGTGCTAACTCACCCAGGCACAGGCAGCTTGTGAGGGTCTCCAGCCCCTTCACAGACAGACCCACATTCCCCAGAGGATCCAGTGAGTGGATTAAATGGAGACACAGTGAGATCACGACCCTGCGTGATTTAGCTCCTGAGCGTGGTACCAATCCTGGCCATCACCCCTGGGGAGAGACTTGGACGTGCATTTCCTATCCTGGATGGGTGAGGGCAGGGTTCTGTTTCAGATGCTGTTTCTCTTTGCCTTTCTTTCAACGACATCTCTGACCCCACAGGCCAAAGACCCCGTGTGGAGCTTGTACCATCTGCCCAACGTGTCTTTCTGAAATATGTATTTGTTGCTCAGTCTCCCAGCTGTGTCCGACTCTTTGTGACCCAGTGGACCACAGCACGCCAGGCCTCCCTCCCCTCACATGTGTTAGGGGACTGGAATGACGACCTGGTGAGTCTGCAGACCCCGTGGACCCAGGGCAAGCTGAACATTAGCTTGTCACTTGGGCCCAGAGGCCCCAACTCTGACAGAAGGGAACAACGGCCTAGTGACCCTGCAGGTCTCCAGCTATAACTGTCAACTCTGAATGTGCGTCCAACAGTTCCAGAAGGCTGGGGTATTCCCCTTCACCCGAGGAAAGGAAATGGCATACAGGGGGTGACTGCCATGTGTTCTTAGCATGGGATTCTTCCTCCTGGGAACATGGCCTCCTCTTCAGTTAATGAGTCTAATCCTGACTCAGGTCCGGGGACTGCAGGAAGGGTACTGCTGTCAGTGTCCTTGATTTCTTCTGGTGACGTGAGCAGCATCCTGACTCCCTGCCCATCTATTCTCCCCTGCCCCCTCCTCCTCCAGAGGTCTGTGTTCCGAACCATCTTCGTAAGTCTGGAGGTCGGCCCGTGTTGACTTCTACTCCAGCTGCACCAGTCGTGACGATCCCTGCATCCGCCTGGCTTCTGACCTGGACACAGCGCCAGCTGGCCCCGGCTTTGGCAGGTCCTGCCATCCCCGCACTCTGAGCCTTCTCCTGGGATGGTGTCACCTGCACCCGTCCAGAACTGCTGAAGGTGCTATGAGGTGGGTGTCGCCCCTGCCGCGCGCTCCTTGTTTTGTCGAGAGTGAGTCTTCCAGAGCTCCCCGCTGGCCACCCCATCTGGCGGTGCGTGTCCCACAGGGCGGTCATCTCAGCGCGTCTCCCTCCCCGAGCCGTCCCATCCCGCCTTCCACGCTCAGCCATCTGATTCCAGCCTTTCAGCTCCCTCGCGTGGACCAGTGACTCTTCAAGCTTCTGGGGGACACTCTGGCTGTGATCTCACACCGTCCGCTCAGACTTTGCCAGGTCATTGAACCCTGGACCTCAAAACTGCTTCCCAGTGAACACACTTTCCCTGAGGCGAGCATCTCCCAAGGTTTCCCGGTCACACTTTCCCCCGAGCCCAACCCCACCCGTCGCCTCTGACCCCTGCCCGCCCAAGCTGGCTGCATCCTCTAGCATCTTCTCTGACCCAGGCTGTCTCCGCCGTGACATAACCCTAACGGTGAGCTCACGGTCAAAACAGGTGCAGATGGTTTTACCAGAAGGTGGCCCCTGAGTTTTCTTGAAGAAAGAAGGAGTTCTTATTCTGATCAGGGAGGCATGGGGCAATTCTGCAGGTCAAGCCTCTCGGAGGAGTGCAGGAATTCAGGGTTTTCACACACCAGGCTAGATGCCCCCAACCCACCTGCCAGGCTCCATTCATGCAACCAGCATCCGGACCAGCCTTGATCGGGAGCCGCAATTTTTTTTTTAATTTCACATATGATAATATACATGTTTCAATGCTGTTCTCTCAAATCATCCCACCCTCGCCTTCTCCCACAGAGTCCAACAGTCTGTTCTTTACATCTGTGTCTCTTTTGCTGTCTCGCATATAGGGTCATCGTTACCATCTTTCTAAATTCCATATATATGCGTTAATATATACTGTACCGGCGTTTTTCTTTCTGACTGACTTCGCTCTGTATAATAGGGGAGCTGGACTTTCTCGCGGGCCCGGCTGCTCTGAAGATCAGTGCCACGCCCGTGTGAGGCCTGAGTTACGCCCACCCCTTGCAAAGGTGCCCACGACCTGCCTCAGAACCGTGACCCGAGGCTCCGCCACAGAGGGGACGCGGTGGAGCAAGGCTGTTACCAGCGGAGACCCTCACAGGGGCCCGGGCGGCACACTCCCTGGCCCTCACACCGTGACTGCGACTGAACCATTTCACTGTCTTAAGGGATTTTCCACCCAATTCAGTACTGTTCACTTACAGACATTGAGACACATGAATTTAGATCAGCTTGTCAACTTATGAAAAAAGAATGGTAGCTGAGATTACGACAGGCATGGTGTTGGGTCTGTAGATGAATTCGGGGGATATTGACATTTTAATATTAAATTTGCTGACTCAAGGCCATGGCGTGTCTACTTACTTCACTTTCTTTCAACACGGCTTTACAGTTTTAGAGTATAAATTTTGCTCTTTTATTAAATTTATTTTTAATTAAAAAATTGATGCTATTGTTTTCTTGATTTCATTTTTGGATTTTTAATTATTTTCGTGTATGAAATACAATTGATTTTATATATTTATGTTGTTGAACTTACTCATTAATTTTAACACTTTGCAACTGGCTTCTTAGGATTTTATATATGCACAATATCATGTCCTCTATAAAGAGGTAATTTTACTTATTCCTTTCCAATCAGGGTGACTTTTAATTCAATTTTCCTTGAATAATAATTTCAATGCAATGTTGGATAGAATTATTGAAAGCAGACCTCCCAGTATTGTTCCTGATATTAGTAGGGAAGTATTCAGTCTTTCATAATTAAGTATGGTGGTAGCTAGATTCTTCATTGATTTCCTTCATCAAGTTCAACAACTTCCTTTCTACTCCTGGCTTGTAAAGTCTCTTTGTTAAAATGTGTAGTGGGTTTTATCATTGTTTTTTCATTTATTAAAATAACCATGTTTTCAGTGTTTTATGATTATATGATTATTGCAATATTAGATTGTCACATGTTAAAGCCAACCTTGCATTCCAGGAATAGATCCCATTTTGTCACTGTGTATAATCTTTTTTGTCACTAGATTTGGTTTGATATTATTTTGTTGAGGAGTTTTACATCGAGGGTGGATAATGTTGTTTTAATTTGATAAATGAGAAAACTTAAGACCTACAGATGTTCAGCATATATTCCAACTTCACACAGCTAGAAGAGGGAAGAGGTGAGATTGAAGTCTCGGATTCTGCCATATTGCAAACTCATGTTTTTGATCATCTTACTTTTAATAAAGGCTTTGCAATTCAGTGACGTTCTTAACTTCTGAAACTGCACATTCTGAATCAGAATAAGTATATTCTGTATCTTCATGTCCTTATGAAGATTTATTTTACCTCTAAGAAAGAACATTTTCTGTATTGCTTTCTTTAAAAATGTTAATTTTTTAAGTTTTAATTTTTTAAGGTTGATATGCTAAAAAAATCAATCAAGCCTTCTGCCTAACTCTCCATAGATAAAAATACAAAGATACATAGGGGAAAAAATAATTTCTATATTGTAATGGAAAAGACTATATAATGGCACATTGTAGAGAATTCTTTTGAAATTTACAGATTTAATCTCAGGTTCATATGGAAAATTAATAGTTTAAAATTAAGTGCAAGGTCCATAAGAATGACACTCTTGAAATACGATAGATAGATATTTAAGTCATAGCGATACAGTAGATGTCTCTGCATTAGAAAGAAGAACAGCTTACTTAATAACTTCACATACCTGTCTTTTGGGGGCTTAGAACTGTGCCGTGCAGTCACTACTCAAAACCTTTTCTTCTTTTGTCATATTAGTGTCGAACACTTCATTCCTATTGGCTGCAATCAGGCTACCAAAACAATTTCTTTTAGGATTCCTGTGATTTGTTGTAAAATTCTAGATCCAGTACCTCTTTTCAAATACATTGATATTTGGCTTTAAACAAAACTTTTCAATAAAGCTTTTGTTTGGCATTATTTCAGTTAGCTGAGCCAGTTTTACATCTTTCTTGAATTCCCTCAACATCTGGTACAGTTCTGGGTATATGTTAATCTGATTAAACTAGACAACAGATAGAAAATTGCTTCATAATTTCCAAAACACTACACAAATACGTGATGTCAATAGTGGTGAAAATAGTAGCAGGCAGTCAGTAAATATGTTAAATTCACATGACTTTGATTATAGCCCTCGTTTGGTTTGCCAGTTCTTAAGATCTAGAAGTCCTGTCTTTATAAATATGTGCTTTGTATGCTTAGTCCTGTCTGACTCTTTTTTATCCTGTGGACTGTAGCCCACCAATTTCTTCTGTCCATGGGATTTTTCAGACATGAATACTGGAGTGGGTTGCCATTTTCCTCCTCCAAGGGATCTTCTCAACCCAGGGATCAAACCCACATCTCCTCTGTCTCCTGCATTGCAGGTGGATTCTTTACCCGCTGAGCCATCAGGAAGTCGTCCACAGTTGACCTTTTATACAGAACAGATTATATAATCGGTTCTTAATCACTTATTGAAGATCATGATGAATTTTAAAAGAGAGATCTAGATGCCGTTGACCTGGAAATAAGGTTACACATAACAGTACATATCAAATTTATGCAGAATACCAGGAACAGTGAAGACTAATACTGGCACATTATATATTTTATGTAGATGTTCTGAGGATAAAAACTGACACTCCTTGGACCCTGTTTGGGATAACTTTCAAATGAACTTTAAAGTGAACACATACTTTTTAAGAAATCTCCACACTGTTTTCCATAGTGGCTGTACTAATTTGCATTCCCACCAACAGTGTAAGAGGGTTCCCTTTTCTCCACACCCTCTCCAGCATTTATTGCTTGTAGACTTTTGGATAGCAGCCATCCTGACTGGTGTGTAATGGTACCTCATTGTGGTTTTGATTTGCATTTCTCTGATAATGAGTGATGTTGAGCATCTTTTCATGTGTTTGTTAGCCATCTGTATGTCTTCCTTGGAGAAATGTCTGTTCAGTTCTTTGGCCCATTTTTTGATTGGGTCATTTATTTTTCTGGAGTTGAGCTGGAGGAGTTGCTTGTATATTTTTGAGATTAATCCTTTGTCTGTTGCTTCGTTTGCTATTATTTTCTCCCAATCTGAGGGCTGTCTTTTCACCTTGCTTATAGTTTCCTTTGTTGTGCAAAAGCTTCTTAAAAAGCTGGAAATAGAACTGCCATATGACCCAGCAATCCCACTTCTGGGCATACACACCGAGGAAACCAGATCTGAAAGAGACACGTGTACCCCAATGTTCATCGCAGCACTGTTTATAATAGCCAGGACATGGAAGCAACCTAGATGCCCATCAGCAGATGAATGGATGAGGAAGCTGTGGTACATATACACCATGGAATATTACTCAGCCATTAAAAAGAATTCATTTGAATCAGCTCTAATGAGATGGATGAAACTGGAGCCCATTATACAGAGCGAAGTAAGCCAGAAAGATAAAGACCATTACAGTATACTAACACATATATATGGAATTTAGAAAGATGGTAACGATAACCCTATGTGCAAAACAGAAAAAGAGACTCCTATGTATAGAACAGACTTATGGACTCTGGGAGAAGGCGAGGGTGGGATGTTTCAAGAGAACAGCATTGAAACACGTATATTATCTAGGGTGAAACAGTTCACCAGCCCAGGTTGGGTGCATGAGACAAGTGCTGGGGCCTGGTGCACTGGGAAGACCCAGAGGGATTGGGTGGAGAGGGAGGTGGGAGGGGGGACCGGGATGGGGAATACATGTAAAAAAAAAAAGATACACTATGGTTGTGATAATAAATAAATAAATAAATAAATAAATAAATAAATAAATAAAAATTTTATGATCCACCAAAAAAAAAATAATAAAGTGAACACATACTAAGATTCATGTTGAGTTTATAGACTTGATGACTTCAAAATAAAGTTCACTTTACTGAAGGACACAGAGAGATCAAGTATGGAGATAAAACCCAAACATTCTCTTAAGTGAGATGTTCCTTCTGCTCTGTAGATAAATATCTACAAATAAGGATGGCTCACAGTTTTTTACTCACTAGGACACTGTTGCTAAACCGAATAC